ACACTTGTGTGGGAGGGAAAATGTGCTGATCTGAATTGCTCTGCTGTCACCCTGCCAGTGCTCCCCCTCCCCTGGAATTCCACCAGTGGGGGTGTCTCTGGGGTGGTTTCCCTGCGTGGATGCTCCCTGTCCTGGAGCACTGGAACGCAGCCCTAGGTTAGGTGTGTGTGCACAACACGAGGTTTAGTGCCCTCCTTCTGTCAGAGGAAGACAAATTCTGGTACTGCTCCCTTTTCTATGAAGTCAGAGCAGCTTTTGGCTTCCTGGAAAGCCACCCTGCACAGGGGCAGCGTGGGCTGCCACAGCCACTGAGTGACAGAGGGCACAGCTGGGGTTTGGCTGCTGCTCAGGGAAATAAATCAAGGGGATGAGGCTGGCAGCTCCAGCTGCAGGGGATGGGGCTTCAGCTCCTCCTTGGGCTCACTCCTGCCTGCAGTAACTTCCACCCAACATGGAAATGTGTGTGGCATTTCCCTGCAAAGGGATAATTCAGCCTCGGTGCATCTGTCAGGGAGCACCTGAGCAGGTGCAGCCCAAGCTGCTGCTGGGTGTGCTCCCTGTCAGAGGGATGCTGACCTGGGCCCTGGAGCAGGCTGGGCCTGGGATGACTCTGCTCAGGGGGCAGCTTTGGTTCCTTAGGGCCTCATCCTGCCCTGTGCTGGGCACTGAGCAGAGCGTGGTTGGGCATTCCAGGGTAGAGCTGGTGGCAGGGCTGGGACAGCGACTGACTCACCTGCTCCAGCCTTGCTTCCCTGGCAGTTTAAGACCTGAAGTGAATGAAGTGAGGGTGGGGGAAGGCAGGGCAAGGAGGGGCACCCACTGACAGCAGCTGGGAGCAGGTGAGTCAGCTGGACATCAGCCTTACCTCTGCTTCACAAATTTAGGGATGGAGGGACCCGCTCGTGCAGTTACTCAGTGCTCACACAGGGTCTGCAGAGACCCACTGAGGGGTCTTAAGGAGGGCTGTGCAGCCAGGGCAGGGCACCACGGTCTTAGAGGTCTTTTCCAACATTAATGATCCCATGATTCTGTGGCCCTGAAGTGGTGCAGGATCCTCCAGCCAGCCTGGCTCACCCCGGGCTGGGTTTGTGCAGCTGAGCAGCCCCAGACTTCACAGCAGAACCAGACTGGGCCAGGGCCTTGCTCATCTCTGAGCCTGGTGCCACCTCCCCCCACTGCACCTCAGGGTGGGTTGATTAACAACTGGGGCTTTGTAGCAAGAAAGAGATTTCTCTGCCCAGCCCTCTCCATCCCTCCCCGTTCCTGTTTTACTGGCTTTGCAGGTTTTCTGCTCACAGCCCTGTCCTTGCCAGGCTCTTGGCTCACCCTGGCTGGGGGGAGGAGCAGCCAGGCCCTGCTCACCCACCACGGAGGTGGGAAGGGACAGGAACAGAGGTTTGGGTCTCTCCCAGAAGCAGGGTGAGCTAAACCTGCTGAGTTCTGTTTTGCGGGAAGTCAGGCCAGGGGCAGAGTAAGATGAGCAGCATCTTTGATTCTGCAGGGCTTCAAGTGCAAGGGTGGAGAGATGTGTGGGGAGTCTCTGCCTTGTTCTGGCCCTGGCTGAGGGAAGAAGCTGTGGGAAGGGCTGTGCTGGCACCCCTGGGAGCAGACATGTCCCCAGCAGTGATGTGTGAGGAGAAGGTGGTTGTGGTTGTGTTTCTGACGGCCATAACTGCTTCATGTGTGTGTTTCAGGAGAGCGCTACCAACTCTGTGCTCACAGTGTGGCTTCTCTTGCAGGCTCACAGGAGATTCACATCGATGAGAGGACGCTCAGCCCCCACCTCAGCCTGTCGGAGGACAAGAGAACGCTGACCTTCAGCCCCAAGAAAGCCAAGGCGGACTCGGACTGCCCTGAGCGGTTTGACCACTGGCCCAACGCCTTGGCCACCGCAGCTTTCCACTCGGGGCTGTGTGCCTGGAAGGTGGGCGTGGAGCAGAGCTGTGCCTACAAGCTGGGGGTTTGCTACAGCTCCGTGCCCAGGAAGGGCTCTGCCAACGAGGGCCGCCTGGGATTCAACGCCGTCTCCTGGGTGTTCTCGCGCTACGACCGGGAATTCCGGTTCCTGCACGCGGGGCAGCCCCAGCCCGTGGAGCTCATCAAGGCCCCGGCCCAGATCGGGGTGCTGGTTGACTTTGGGGCGGGAGAGGTGCTTTTCTATGACCCCGACTCCTGCACCATCCTCTTCTCCCACAGGGAGACCTTCACCGAGCCCATCTACCCTGTGTTTGCCGTGGCGCACCAGAGCATCTCACTGCTCCAGTGAGCAGGGCCTGAGCGTGACTGTGAGTGCTCTGCACTGTGCCCTGGGGGGAAGGGAGCCCAGGCAGGGCTGTGGGCTGTGTCCAGTGTTCAGACAACACCTGCCTTCACACTACAGCTGTTCTTCACGTGTTTTACAGCAGCTCTGCTCTCCTCCTGTGTCTGCTGTGCTGGGGTGAGGGGTCAGGGAATGCCTGGCTGGGCCAACTGGTCTTGGGCGGATTGTTTAATTTCTGCTGTGAAAAACTGGACAAATAGTAAGTGGTGTGTATGGAGAAATGGCAGGGAGAAGGCACACGAAAGGAAAGGGAAATAACAGCTCTACAACTCCCTGACAGGAGGGTGGAGCCAGCTGAGGGTTGGTCTCTTCTCCCAGATAACAAGTGACAGGACAAGAGGAAACAGCATCAAAATACTCTTAGAAGGTTCAGGCTGGGTATTAAGGGAACGTTTCTTCACTGAAAGTGTGGTCAGGCGTTGACACAGCTGCCCAGGGCAGTGGTGGAGTCACCAGCCTTGGAGGGGCTTAAAAGGCATGTGGATGTGGCACTTGGGGACATGAGTAAGTGGTGGCCTGGGCAGTGCTGGAGGAATGGTTGGACTTGATCCTAAAGGTCTTTTCCAACCTGAATTATTTTGTGATTGTCTGACTGGGACACAGCTGGACACACACTTTTGGGGGGAGCTGTCCCTCTGCAGAGCTGGGCAGTGCAGGGAGTTGTCCTGTGCTGAGACAGGGGCTCCCCTGAGGGGCTGTGGCTCCTGTCCAAGCAGGGGAGCAAGCAAAGAGCAGCAGAAAGAAACCAAACCTGAGTGTCACCAGAAGGAGTGGGGGTTGAGCATAACATGGTGCAAACACAGGGAGCTGATGGAGGGCAGGGAGGAAGGAGAGGTGTTGGCCTAGAGTTGAGCCAGGGAGCAGGGGCAGGAAAGGGGTTTAAAATGGTCATCTTTATTTCTCACTACCCAGATCAGTGAAGTTTGTTAACTGGCACTTTGTTAAGTGAAGTTGCCCAGCTCCAGACTGTTCTGTGTACAGAGGGAGATCTGGAGCCACCTCCTGGCCACTGCTGTTAGGAAAAGGGGAATGCAAAGCTGGGGTGCACTGAGGCATGCAGGGCCTGTGCAGGGGTGTCCCGAGTGCTCCCCTTGGGCAGACCTTCCCCGGGATGGGCAGCTTGAGTGTCCACTTTGAGGAAACCTTCCCCGGGACTGACCAGCACCTGCACTGGGGGATTCTCGATCCTCTCCCCAGGGTGACTGAAGGAAAAAACCTCTGTGTCTGCCTCCCTCTCACCTACCAGAAAAAGCCTCTGGAGCATGACCCATTCCCAGCCCCGTTAGGGGAAGACAGCACTGCTGACACCCCCCTTCTGGAGGTTTTTAGAGCCGTGAAACAAAGCAGCAGCACCACTGGCTGTCAGATATGTTTTATTGTAGGAACATCCCTCCTGCTCCGAAGGCAGCGCCGCTCCCTGTGCTCGATCCGCTCGCTGCTGTTCCCTGTCCCCCGGGCAGCAGGGAAACCCCATCAAGACCACTTCAGCACCCGGCAGCAGTGCCAGGCTCCTCCAAACCGCAGCTACCCCTTCTCGATCCGGGCCAGGAGGTGGCTGAGGGTGGGCAGGACGTGCTCCGGGGGCACCTCGGGCTCCGGGCCCTGGCCGGCCGTGCGGAGCAGGAAGCTGTGCATGCCCACAGCCCGGGCTGCCCGGTAATCCCGCGTGTAATCATCCCCGACGTGGGCCGCCTGCTCCGGGGGGACACCCCCGAGCCGCAAGGCCTCCTCGAAGATCCTCCGGTCGGGCTTGGCGACCCCCGCGGCCTCGGAGGTGAGCACGAACTCGAAGTGGTGCCGCAGGCTGCACTGCGAGAGGATGTTTTCTAGCCGGTTGTCGAAGTTGGACACGACGCCCATGCGGAAGCCGCGCTGGCGACACCGGCTCAGGGTCTCCTCGGCCCCCGGCAGCACCTCCCAGTTGTGGGAGCCGCAGTAGTCGCGGTACAGCTTCTCGGCCAGCGCCGTCAGGGCTGCGCCGTCCTGCACCCCCGAGAGCACGAAGGCCTGTTTGACCACGTCCACCCACCACTGCCGGGAGCTGAGCCCCTGCCCCCGGCCGTAGTTGGGGAAGCGGCGGCTCTGGGCCCCGTAGGCCTCCCGGAACGCCCGTCCCAGAGCCTCGGGCTGCACCTGCAGCCCCTGCGCCCGCGCCTCGGCCGCGTAGCTCTGCCCCACGGGCCGCCGCAGCCGCAGCAGAGTGTCCTTCACATCCCAGGTCAGCAGGCGCAGCCGGAGCATGGCCTCGGGGACAAGGACGAGGGCAGCCAGGGACACAGGCGAGAGCCAGGCGCTCCGAGGGAGAGTCAGTGCCGGTCACATCGGAGGGGTGCGGGCACCCCGGCCCTCCGTCCGCCTCAGTCCCGGGCTCAGTGTCCCTCGAGGGGGGCTCAGGGTCCCGCTGGAGTCCGCACGGACACGGCAGGGAGGCAAAGCCCTGCTGCGAGCGCCAGGGGCAAAGTCCGCCAGGCCGGGCAGCGACACTCCCACCGCGGGCGCTGCAGCCGGGGCGGGCGGGGGCACCGGGGCTGGACCGGGCTGGGGGGACGGGGCACAGTCGGCACCGCACCGGGGATGTCCGGGGGGGTGTGCGGGGCACAGCCGGGGCACGCGGGGCTGGGCCCGGGGTCGGTGAACGGGGTGTCCCCGTTGAAGGCGGGTGCGGGGTCCTGGTGTCCCCCGGGGGGTGCGGGGCGGGTCCGAGGCTCACCGGGCTCCGAGGGCCGGGAGTACTCGCGGTGCCGGGGCCCACCTGCACCGCCCCCGGAAATCCCGCCCAGCCCGGAATTCCCGCCCCATCCCGGCGCTCCTCCCTCTCCGCCCCAGCCCCGAGTTCAGGCCCGTCCCGCCGCCTCCTCCCGCAGCCAGCGCAGCAGCTGCGGCGCGAAGTAGGTGATGATGATGTCGGCACCTGCGGAGAGACGAGAGGCTGCGGCCGGCCCGGGGACACGCGGGGAACGCGCGGGGGGGGCACGGGGGTCGCAGCCTCACCTGCCCGCCTGAAGGCCGTCATCGCCTCCCGCACCGCCGCCTCCAGCACGAAGGCTCCCGCCTGCGCCCCGTGCCACAGCATAGCGAACTCCCCCGAGACGTGGTACACGGCCAGCGGGTGCGTGGGGTGCTGCGGGCACACGGTCAGCCCCGGGTGTGCCGTGCCGGCCCCGCACAGCCCCGCACATCAGGCACACAGCCACAGCCCCCCAGTGCCCTCCCTGCCAGGCAGGAGCTCACCCGGGCCTTGACATCCCGCACGAGGTCCAGGTAGGGCATCCCCGGCTTCACCATCAGCATGTCCGCTCCCTCCCGCACGTCCCGGTCCTGCCACGGGAACACGGCACACGGGGGACAAGGGAAGAGTTTTCCAGCGAGGCCTGAGTTGTTTTTCCAGGATGGTCTGCTGAGCCCCTCCCGGCCACAGGAGCCCAACTGTGGGCTGGCACTCCCCCCACACACACAGTGCCTGGGGAACGCTGGTGGCTGCATGTCCCTGGACCTGATGCCCCAGTATGAGGGCACCAGCTCCACGGCTCCCACTGCCCAGTCCTTGAGCACACACTGGCACCAGCTCTGGCAGGCTAGTGGACCTCGTGTTTTGTTATCTCACGGAAAGGGAAAACCCTTGACCCTTTTGGCCGATTTGCCTCCTACTTCCTTTTGACTCTCTCACTCTCCCCAAGCCCTGGGATGATCACCTGGGTCCCACTGAAGGTGTCCAGCCCCACAGCCACAACCCCACATGTGCCCCACTGAGGGTGTCCAGCCCCACATGCCCCCTGCACTCACCACAGCGCGCTCGGCCAGGCCCCGGGCGCCGGGGGGCAGCTGGTAACACCTCCGGTCACCGAAGGCGGGTTTGGAGAGCGCGGCGTCCCTGGAGAGGGGCAGGGCAGGGGGCAGGGGGTGAGGACCCCTGTGCCTCCCACCTCGTACAGCTTTAGGAACGGGAGGCCGGACGAGTCAGGAAAATGGGGCACTCTGAGCCACCTCAGCACCCCAGGGTGGCTCTGGGAGGTCCTGCAGGCCCAGGCTGGCCTTGAGAGCTGTTTCAACACCCACGGCCCTCCCCATGCCCAGAGTCTGGGTAAAATCACGTCAGACTCTTCCAAGGCAGATTCCTTAGAAACACCCTGCCAGGGTCAGGCTGTTCTTGGACAAGGTCCAACAGCTGACTAAGCTGAAGCTTGTCCCTGTAGCCACCCTTTGTGACAGCACTGGCTCCTGTGACTCCCTCCCTCTTCTTGGACATGTCAGGCAGCTCCCTGTCTGCCTGCCTTGCCAGCAGCACTGCAGAGGAGCAGGTGAAGAGGTAAAGGATGGAAGATCACTTGGGCAAAGTACAATTGTCTCCTTTTTGCACGGAGGAGTAGGAGGAAGGTGCTGCTGAGTGACCAGTGTGGCCCCACCTGCAGCCCAGGCTCTGGCCAAGCCCCCTTCCCAAATAACTATCTGGGAACACATTCCCAGCCAGCCTGGCACGGGCTGGGCACACCTGGCGGAGCGACAGACCCACCTGAAAGGTCCATAGAAGCAGGAAGCAAACTTGGCACTGTAGCTCATCACCGAGACCTGTGGAGCAGAGCGGGGCCATGAGGGCAGGGAGTTCGGAGCCACATCCACAGACTCCCTCCCACGGCTGTTTTATCCTCCCCTCCCAGAGGCCTGGCACCTGCTGTTCCCATGGACACTCCTGCAGTGCTGCAGCTCCCCTGGCAGTGGCTCCTGCCCCGGGCACACACAGGTGCCCAGCTCACCTTGTTGCCCAGGTCGTTGGAGATCAGCGCCTGCTTTATGGCCCCGATGCGCCCGTCCATCATGTCCGAGGGGGCCACGATGTGGCAGCCTGCAGGGAAGGACAGGGATGCAGGGGAGGACAGGGATGCAGGGGAGGACAGGGATGCAGGGAAGGACAGCGAGGCAGGGAAGGACAGCGAGGCAGGGAAGGACAGCGAGGCAGGGAAGGACAGCGAGGCAGGGAAGCACCCAAGGCTTTGGCTCTGCCAAAAGGTTCCGGTGCCGGCAGCGCTGCCGGGATGAGCACAGGGAGGGCAGGGGAGCAGTCCCAGTTAGAGCCAGGCCCAGTCTGGTTTTGGGTCTGCCCAGACCAGGAGCAGGGAGGTGATTGTGCCCCTGTGCTGGGCACTGGGGAGGCCACACCTCGAGTGCTGTGCCCAGTTCTGACCCCTCAGCTCAGGAAGGACATGGAGGGGCTGCAGCAGGTCCAGAGAAGGGCAACGAGGCTGGGGAAGGGTCTGGAGCACAAGTGCTGGGAGGAGCAGCTGAGG